GGGAACAAGAAGATCCTTCGCCAGGGGGCCGCGCACCGCGCCGCGCGCACCCCCCCCCTCCTTGCCTTTCGGCCCCAAGGGCCCCCTGGGACCCGGGCATCCTGGGCCCTTGGGCATGGGTCGAAATCGCGGCCTTCAGGTGATGATTGATGCCATTGATGCTTCCCTGGGGATGATTCGGATGATCCCTCGATGTTATGATTATGATCCTGATGCTTGGCCCGTGAGCCTCTGAGCCCATAAGGGGTCCCGGGGTTCCGAAAGTTGCGTCGGCGTCGCAGCCCGCGGCCGATGCCCCCGTCGCAATCCCAGAGCAATGATTGACATCGGGGCCCAGCGGGGTCTCACAATCCCCCGCGCGCCTTTTTTCTCGGGCCCCTAGGGGCCGCGCCGCCCGCCCAACCCCGCGGGCCCCGGGCCCAGGGGCCCGCCCAGTGGCCCAGGGGAAGTAAAAGCGAGTACAGAAGAGGAGATTTGGATATTGTCAATTGAAGTAGAGTAGGGTACAGTCTAGTTAGTGCATAGAATGCCGCAGGTGCGCATAGATAGCCAGATATCCAGATAGCCGCGCTTTACTTTAATCGCCGCGGCTGGGCCCGACGAGATCTGCGCGAGAGCGCGAAGCTAACCGCGTCGACTCGGCCGCGTCGACTTAAAGATTTCAGACATGGAGCGTTTCGCCCTGGGCATTTCGCCCTTCCTCCAGGCTGCCGCGCAGCAGTCGCCCGTGCCCGCAGTCCTGATGAACGGCCCGCTGGCCATTGGGGTCGTCAAATCTAAGCAGGCGGCCGCAGTTCCGAAGAAGAGGCTCAAGTCTGTGGCCAAGGCTGCGACCGAGATTCCATTGACTAGGCCGATTCCGGAGGTCATCCTGGATGACGTCATCCATTTCATGAGCTATTGCTTGCGCAATGTGGCCACCGAAGTTTTGTCTTCACAGTCAGCGCACAAGCAGGCGCGCATCTGGTGTATCCATTTCATTTTTAAGCACGAGGTTCTGGTTCCAGCGTATAGCGAGAAACTTCAGAAGAAGCCAAGCTGCGTGGATGGCAAGCTGAAAATCACGGTCCTCTGGCACGTTGGAAGTACCAGTGTAGCAGTAGGCAGTAGTCATCGTAGTAGTAGTAGAAGTAGTAGTAGTAGTAGTAGTAGTAGTAGTAGTAGTAGTAGTAGCAGTAGTAAGAGTAGTAGTAGTAGTGGTAGTAGTAGTCGTAGTAGTAGTAGTAGTAGCAGCAGCAGCAGCAGCAGCAGTAGTTTAGTAGTTTAGTAGTCGTAGTAGTAGTAGTAGTAGTAGTAGTAGTAGTAGTAGTAGTAGTAGTAGTAGAAGTAGCAGCAGCAGCAGCAGCAGCAGGAGTAGTAGTAGTAGTAGTAGTAGCAGTAGTAGTAGTAGTAGTAGTAGTAGTAGCAGTAGTAGTAGTGGTAGTAGTAGTAGTAGTAGTAGTAGTAGTAGTAGTAGTAACTGCAACAGTGTAGCAGACAGACAGTAGTGTCTGTGTGTTTGTAGCGTCTAGTCTGCTAGGGGTGCATATCATCGCCCCTCCCTCCGAGCCCCTCTCCTCTCTCCTCCGGCCCCTCTCCTCCTAGCCCCCCCCTTCTCAATCTAGCCCCGGCGCTCCTCATATCACCCCGCTTCCCCGGGGGCAGGCGGCATGCTGCCCGAAAGGAGTCCAATTCACGGCGCCATGCTGCGTCCGCCGCGTCAGCCTGCCCGCCCTGCCCTGCCCCCCCGGCCCCCCCGCCCCCCCGCTCCTCCGCCGCGCCCCCCTCCCCCCCCCCGTCCCCCCATGCCGAGGTATATACGCACCTTCGGCAGTACATCATTCAGTACTTGGTTGACCACGTCGACGGGGCAGACGCAGGGGGCAAAGGCGAGCATGACGCACCAAATGATGATGAGGCAGAGCAGCGCGAAGCAGACGCCGACGACGACGACGCTGGCCCCGAGGCGACGACAGATGCAGTGGCCGTGCGCTCAAAGGAAGTGGCGGCTCAGCTTGACGTCCCAGGCGCCATCGTCAACGTTTTCCTTGTGGCGCTGAAAGAAAAATCTACTTTGGTGAAGGACCTTGCCACGATCGTGAGAGATAACCCTATCAGTGTGCTGAAATTGTCGAATCCTGAGGTGATGAAGAGAGGGCACGTCCTGATGGGGAAGATGATCAGCTCGATCTGGAACAGCTTCATCCACACCTCGGGCGGCGGGGGAGGGGGCTCCAAGACAGTCTCGCAACTGATCGCATCGGCTTCCGCGCATAACGGCGGCGGGGATCCCGCTGCAGTTGCTGCTGCTCGGAGGGACATTGCCATTGCTGGAATTATTAAACTTATTGGGGCCACTATCTTCAGCTCGCTCGACTGCCGTGTGGTGAATCTAGCTCGTGCTCTCAAGGGTGTCTGCGATGCTTCCAATACCATGAATTTTGGCATCGTCTGCCCGGAACTCCATTCTGTTGGTGAGGTAGCGGGGAACTGTTTTAAGTGAATTTCAGATACTTTAACTTTCAACGATAACTGAAAACCCTGGAACCCTGGGGGCCAGGGGGCTGCCTCTGGCCCTGGAAGGGCCGAATGGCGAAGGGGCTCGAACATATTCGAGGAGAGGGGGGGGGAGGGGCAGGGAGGGGGAGGGAGGGGGATAAGGTGGGGGGGGGAAGGGCCCGGGGAGGAGTAGGAGGGAGGGACGACCCCCGCTTTAACTTGCAGCCTCTCCCCTCCCCCCAGCCTCTCCCCACCCCTACTTGCCGCCGTGCCGCCGCCTCCTCCTCCCCCTCCTCCTCCTCCATTGCCCCGCCCAGGTCTTCGACTCCATGGAGAGCCTTGAGCTGTTCTTGACAATGCGTGCCAGGTACGCGAACGTTTTGATCGGCCAGCTCGCCGACATCCGCTCGTACCTGTTCGCGAATTGCGATCTTGCGGAGTTGGCCCCAGACTGCCAGGGGCAGGGGCCTTTGGCCGCCGCTTTCGACGCGCTCCAGTTGGTGCCGAAGTTCTTCGCGATCTTCAGCGACGCGGTCAGCCAGATGGACTCCTCTCGTTCCAGTCTGGATGCGTGGACGACCGCGTGGACTGGCGTTGTGACCAAGAGCTGTCAATTGGACCGCGCGGTTTTCATTCCCAAGACCGAGGATGAGTGGACGCGGGTGGCCTCGAACCACCGCTCGAAGTTGAATGCCCAGACTAAGGAGGTGTTGGGGAAGCTTCTTCCCGAGACGTTGCCTAATGGCGAGACGTCGGGGGTCGCCAAGCTCAGCAAGAACGAGATGATCGAGATCCTTGTCACCACCCAGATCGAGACCGCGAAGGCGGAGGAGACGGCGTTGAAGGAGGAGTGGGATGCCTTTGCCAGGACGTACAGCGAGGAGCTCGGCAGCCTGGGCAATGGCAACGGCCACTGCTTCGGTGGCAGCCCCGCGACCTCGGACTCAGCAGAGAGCAGCATTGTCTCGGCGTTGGCAGAGGTTGACGAGAGGACTGGCTGCAGTGATAGCTTCCAATCCGTGTGCGGTGGTGCTGGCGCTGCCAGGTCTTGTCTGGCGGACCCTAGGACGAGCAGGACGTTTGAGTCGATGGCGGCGGCGTCTGCGTTGACGATGCAGCCTCTGAGTGTCCACGTCGACGTCGGACATCAGCTGATCGTGAGGCGGTCGCCCAGGGGCCCGACTGAGCTCGCCAAGAAGCTGCCCAAGTTGTACTTCATTCATCGCGATGAGGGGTTGCCAGCTTTTGACGCGTTCGAGCTCCACCTCACTGGCAAGGTGAGCGCGGGGACGTCGCCGCCCGCTAACAGGCTGATCTACTCTGCTGGGAAGCTCGCGAACGGCGACAAGCTGTTCGTCCAGCCGCCGGCGGCGGCGCTCACCCCAGCGAGCGACTGCTACCTGCCCGGCTGGAGCGTCAGGGTGATCAAGCCTGACTGCGGCAAGTTGCCGACGATGGTCCCCGTGAACGTGGAGCAGGCTTCCTCTTCCTCCCCCCTCTTCCCCTTCCTCCTCCCCCTCCTCCTCTCCTCTCCTCCGAGACTCCCCCTCCTTCTCCTCCCCCTCCCCTTCCTGCTCCTCCTGATGATGCCGCGCGGGCTGGTTGAAGGCGCCCGACGGGGGGGTTTGCCAGTGGGGCCGCAGCCCGCTGCGCATTTCGATTTGCACAGGCCTCAGCGAGCGCTTCGCAACTCGGTGTCTTCATGTCCTCATCCTTCTCTTCCTTCTCATCCTCCTCCTCGTCCTCGTCTTCCTCGTGCGTAGTCCTCCTCTCCTCCTCAGTCCTCCTCCTCCTCCTTTCTGTCTTCTTTTTTTTGATCCCCTCCACCTCCACCTCCTGACTCTGACTCTTCGCTTGGTGTTATTATCCTATCTTATCATCAGCCTATTCTCTGAAAATCCCCATATCCATTATCTAATCCCTCATCTCTTCCCCCTCCCCATCTCCTGCCCCCCCAGCCCAGCTCTCCCCCCTGCCTCTCATCTCATCTCTTCTTCTGTTTTTTCTTCTCACTCGCCGGCCGCCGCCGGCCGCCGGCCGCCTGCGCCCCCGCCCCGGGCCCCGGCCCCCCCGCCGCCAACCGAGGTCTGCGGCTACTCCTCGGGGCCAGCGGGTGCGCAGTCGACTGGAACGGCCGCCGTGACCACGCGCAAGTTGGTGGGCCGCGGGCCGCCGCGGGGGGGCTGGGGCCAGGACGGAGGACATCGGAATTTACATTGCAAGACGGAGGACGAGGAGAGTGGCGAGTGACGAGAGGGGAGGGGGGGAGGGGGGGCGGGAGGTGAATAGGTGAGGCTCACGGTGAGGTGAGGAGGGTGAGTCTCTCTCTCCACAGTCTCTCCTAGGCTGTCTCTGCTATCCCTCTCCCGGTGGCCCTGGGGCCGACGCTGTTGAACCGTGTCGGCGGCGGCGGAAGGAGCGGGGCCCGCGGAAGTCAAGGGGCCCCGGGCCGCGGCGACGGCCTCGGCGGAAGTCCGGCGGAAGACGCGGGAGGCCGATGTCGGCATGTTCGGGCCCCGGAG